CAGAGGAGCAAGCAGTCCGCGTCACAGGCAGCCGAATCGAGACAGATTCAGTTAGCAGTAGAAGCTTTGATCGACTGGATTCGCACGGCAGGTTGTGCGGTTTGGCGAGACGGAGGAGGAACAGTCCGTGAGTGTGCGCAGAGAAGGGTTCAGGGAGTTCCCTGTTCGAGAGTTCGCGAAGCAGAAGGACCTAAGCAGTTTGGTGAGGTGCAACGGCTCTAGAGAGGCAGTTGGAGCAGTTTGGCGAGGCACGACGACTCTAGAGAGGCAGTTATTCTCGTGTGAGAGGCAGAGGAGGAATTCTTGATTTGTTTCGCTGGACGCAGAGGAGTGCCTGCGGGAAGGAGGCGCAAGCACAGAACAGGAAGTTTTCTCCGGTGAACAGGTGTGATCTCTGTCAGAAGGGATCGGAGCTCTCCGTTCGGTTGACGAAGGAAGTGGAGTTCACGAGGATAAGGTAAGAAATTTGATGAGAATTTCTTGGAAAGCAAGGCATTAAAAAGAAAGTTTAGGCTGAAAACTTTTGGTTGCTATACAATAGTACAACATTTTGGTGATTTCAGTCTAGTTCTTGGAAGGGCAACAAGTATAATTCATTGGAAGAAATCTTAGCCACGACAATGAGTTTCGTCATATTCGACATTGAGAAATTCAATAGGAAGAACGACTTCGGGTTATAGAGAGTAAAGATGAGAGCTCTATTGATTCAGCAGGGTGTTGCAGAAGCCTTGTAAGGGTCGGCGACATTGCCGGCCGACATGACCGAGAAGGAGAAGATTGGCATACTGGACAAGGCCCACAGTTTGATAATCCTGAGCTTGGGTGACAAAGTTCTGAGGGAGGGGTCGAGGGAGACAACGACTCAAGCACTTTGGGCCAAACTCAAGGTACTCTACCTGACAAAGTCTCTGGCTAATGACTCTTTCTGAAGCAGCGCCTATACTCCTTTAAAATGCATGAAGACAAATCCGTCTCAGAGCAGATCGACGAGTTCAATAAGATCATCGATGATCTCGAGAACATCGACGTCAAGATGGACGATGAGGACAAGGCACTGTTTTTGATAAACTCTATTTGTGAGAGCTACGAGCATTTCAAGGGTGCAATGCTCTATGAAAGGGTGCAGACTATTACTCTATAGGAGGTTCAATCTCTGATTAGAGCCAAAGAACTTCAGAGGAAACATGACAGAGACAAGGAAGTCAACGGAGACAGTCTTATTGTCAGAGGGAGATCAGACTTGAAAGATTCAAGAAATGGTCAGTACAGATCAAGGTCAAGCAAGGATGACGAGAATCAGTCATCAAAGGGATCTTTCAAGAGCTATCATTGTCACAAGGACGGTCATTTCAAGAGGAACTGCCCAGACAGGAAGAATAGTATCAAGAAGAGCCAGAAGAATCAGGAGAAGCAAGCGTAGTCTCTGATGACTACGATTTTGCTGAGGCCATGGTGATCACAGAATTTGAATCCAATAAGGATTGGATCCTCGACTCAGGGTGTTCTTTCCACATGTGTCCTCACAAAGACTGGTTCGAGACACTGCAACAGAAAAATGATGGGTCCGTTCTACTGGGAGAAAATAAAGCTCACAAGGTTGCTGGAAGTGGATAAGTCAGGATAAGGATGTTTGATGGAGTTGAACGAGTAATGAAAAATGTCAGGTACGTACCAGAGCTCAAATGAAATCTGATTTCTTTAGGTACGCTGGAGTCAAGTGGATGCTCGTTCAAGGCAGAGAATGGCTGCATCAGAGTAACCAAAGGCCCTTGTGTCGTCATACAAGGAGTCAGGAAAAAAGGGTTGTACTATCTTATCGGAAGAACCGTGATTGCTAAGTCCACGTACTGTTTGGACCTAACAAACTCAAGCAAGGGCTGAGGGCCTCTCAGGGGTCAGGTGGAGGGAATCTTTACTTTAAAGCTTCTTAAATAGAGAGGGTGTGAGGCTTAGGAGAGCAAGGGAATAGATCTTAAGTGACCACAAAGGAGGAGAGAATAGCTAGAGAGCTAGAGAGGAGGAGAGCATCTCGAGGCCTTGTATCAAGGTGTCGCTTGA